AAACTTGAACGTTTATTGCCAATCGTGAACGTTTATTGCCAATTGTGAACGTTTATTGTCAATCGTGAACGTTCATTGTCAAACTTGAACGTTTATAGCCAATTGTGAACGTTTATTGTCAAACTTGAACGTTTATTGCCAATCGTGAACGTTTATTGCCAATTGTGGACGTTTATTGCCAATCGTGAACGTTTATCGTCAATCTCGTATATCATACAAATATCAATCTTGCTACCCACAGTGTCACCCTTATACCGTAATAATTTCACAACGTGTCACACTCGAAATGTCTATTGCCATTTTTGAATATTTATTGTTAATTTTCGAGACCGTCTCTTCTTCACTAAAATTTCACCGGTAAAATATATAAATCAATCACCATACCACAACAATAGCAATCTTACATCCTGTATGGCGTTCCTCTTCCACGCGGGTAAGGGTGGGATCATGCTTATGCTCTCAGCTGGTCCGTAGCTGCCCTGAAGAACTGGTACAGGTACCTACAAAAAGGTGCTCGCTTTCCCCTGGAAGTGTACAGAAATCAACAAGAATTTCCTCCCAGAATTCACATATTGTCACCAACACATGTAGTTGACCATGTTCATATTTCCCACGAACAGAAACCAATAAGAATTTCCTCTCAAAATTTTCATATCGTCACCAACACATGTAGTTGACCATGTTCATATTTCCCACAAATTCACTAGAAGTGTACAGAAACCAATAAGAATTTCCTCCTAGAATTTTCATATCGTCACCAACACATGTAGTTAACCATGTTCATATTCCCCACAAATTCACTAGAAGTGTACAGAAACCAATAAGAATTTCCTCCCAGAATTTTCATATCGTCACCAACACATGTAGTTGACCATGTTCATGTTTCCCACGAACAGAAACCAATAAGAATTTCCTCTCAAAATTTTCATATTGTCACCAACACACGTAGTTGACCATGTTCATATTTCCCACAAATTCACTAGAAGTGTACAGAAACCAATAAGAATTTCCCCCCAGAATTTTCATATTGTCACCAACACATGTAGTTGACCATGTTCATATTTCCCACAAATTCACTAGAAGTGTACAGAAACCAACAAGAATTTCCTCCCAGAATTTTCATATTGTCACCAACACATGTAGTTGACCATGTTCATATTCCCCACAAATTCACTAGAAGTGTACAGAAACCAATAAGAATTTCCTCCCAGAATTTTCATATCGTCACCAACACATGTAGTTGACCATGTTCATGTTTCCCACGAACAGAAACCAATAAGAATTTCCTCTCAAAATTTTCATATTGTCACCAACACACGTAGTTGACCATGTTCATATTTCCCACAAATTCACTACAAGTGTACAGAAACCAATACTAGAATTTCCTCCCAGAATTTCACCAACACATGTAGTTGACCATGTTCATATTTCCCACAAATTCACTAGAAGTGTACAGAAATCAATGAGAATTTCCTCCCAGAATTTTTTATATTGTCACCAACACATGTAGTTGACCATGTTCATATTCCTCACAAATTCACTAGAAGTGTACAGAAATCAACAAGAATTTTCTCCCAGAATTTTCATATTGTCACCAACACATGTAGTTGACCATGTTCATATTCCCCACAAATTCACTAGAAGTGTACAGAAACCAATAAGAATTTCCTCCCAGAACTTTCATATTGTCACCAACACATGTGCATATCCCCGCGCCACTTACACAAATAACAACATGTCGTGTTCTGACCATCCGACCGTTGGAGCACCGAACTAATGCCATACCGTCGCTGTCCATTTCGATGCTAGCAACTCTGTGAAGGACCCTTACCTGACTTAGTGCACGCGTAAGACCTTACGGCTCGCTGGGCATATGTACTATCTACTTTTAGTCATCCTTTTCATTTAATTTTGAATAAATTTTTCATTTTGTTTCTTCGAGTTTTACACTGTAATTGTACTTTTGCGGTGACAGGTTACTCACTCAAACGCAGAAAAAAAGGCATCACATATTCCCAGGCCTACAGTTTACAACACCACGAGATACCCCTGCTACAGTGCTTGCGAATTTTATATGCAAATGTGAAAAATGTGCGCTACTTTTCGGTGTTTATGGACTTTCACGACTACCCGTTTTACGTGAAGTGGTGTAATACTCGGTGAAAAACGCGATATTCGCGGTGATATGCAATAGTCGTGAAATATATTTTTCACCAGTTTTCACTTCACTAGGGTGGTAAAACTCCAATAAGAATCGATCTGAAACTATATCGCATAAACAATATAAACATTGCTATGAACATGTGATGTGATAAAAGTAACTTTTCGAGACTATGATAGCGACCACTTGTTCACTATCATTAATCCCGGAATAGATAATACACATTTGCATATCAAATTGGCACTAAGCACTGTACATGAATTCGACCAACTCCACGTACAGTGTTGGAATATTCGTTTGTTTTCCTCAGCTGATCTCAGGAGTTTCCAAAGCTAATTAGATATAAAATTCGGGTAGAAGTGCTCAGAAACCAACGAGAATTTTTCAAAATTTCATCCCAGAATTTTCATATTGTCACCAACACATGTAGTTGACCATGTTCATATTTCCCACGAACAGAAACCAATAAGAATTTCCTCTCAGAATTTCCACCAACACATGTAGTTGACCATGTTCATATTACCCACGAACAGAAACCAATAAGAATTTCCTCTCAGAATTTTCACCAACACATGTAGTTGACCATGTTCATATTACCCACGAACAGAAACCAATAAGAATTTTCTCTCAGGATTTTCACCAACACATGTAGTTGACCATGTTCATATTACCCACGAACAGAAACCAATAAGAATTCCCTCCCAGAATTTTCACCAACACATGTAGTTGACCATGTGCATATTTCCCCCTACACAACCAGCTACGTACCTCCCCAGCGTCCTTCTCAAGTTCACCAACAACAGCATCACCAAATCCTTGCTCTATTTGAAAGTCGTGCTCGCCATCATCGCGCTCATAAAAATGCTCCTAAAAATCCAAAAATGCGCTCCCAAGGAATCGAACCCCAGACCTACCGCTTCACAGTTCGCCCGCCAACTGAGTACTCTAAATGCCCCGCCGGCAGTGTTGCCGTAACCAGCCTGGACCAGTCTCTCCGAACGATCTGAGATTCCTCTCGATCTCAAAATCGTCTCCATATCCTCCTTGCCAGCCACTGGGTACTCCTTTGCCATGCCCGACAGAACCTCGTGGGTTTCCCGAAAGTCCGGGGGTAACTACAGTAGTCGCGAAAAACCAGAGTGGAATTTATATGCAAGTAGCACTGTGTAAATTCTTCAAATTTTTTTGTTATGAAAAAAAATCGGCGCTCTCAACCAATACGACTTACACGCTAATTCGCTCTGGGAGATAGGCTCCCCGCGGAAGGGCGTATAGGCTCCTTAGTGACCACCTTATTACCCCCGAAATCTAACTACGGCAGTTATGAACTATAAGATCCAATAATGAACAAAATTCTTACTACTAGTGTTGGAAAATACGATCGCTTTCCTCAACTGAGCTCACGAATTTCCTAGAAGCTTATATGTGAAACCGCCTCCGAAAATGTAGACAAACCAGAAAAAATCAATTATCAATTTTATCACCACCACATGTGGTCGAGCATATGCATATTTTCCAACACTACCTCATCGAAACGATACAGATTTCCATCCACGTAGTAGTAACCAGCGCCGCCGTTGACCATCTCGTCATTAGGACCACCATCACCCTGTGCCCACGTGAACAGCTGAAAAAAGACATTACCATCAAAGGCGACTGGACATACGAATAGACCTTGTGCAAATTCCATCCCTTTTCCTTAGCCATTTTGTAAAGGCTCGTACCGTCGCCGTGAATGAACTCAGCACCTTGTAAAAACCGCACAACACTGTAAGAGGCGCATGTTCTTCCCCGTGCGAATTGGCAAAAAAAATCAGCACTTCTCACAAGCGAGTAAGAGTTATGCAAAGTAGTAGTATTTTCAGCTTAGCCTTCAATTTTAGGGAGTTTGTCGAAAGTCAACTTTGAGTAATATCAACATGATAACAATGTGAATCGATTGATGACACCAACGTTTTAGAAGCGTTACGATATACATAACTGTTTGGTTCACACTGTAGGTATAATAACTACTTATACGCTCCCTCCTCAACTACTCACCAACATCGAAGTGGGCAGCATCGCCTCGGCCGATACTCCCTTCGGTGTACATCCACCAACCATGGGAATTCGGGGCTTTCATATCGCTCTCATGCAAGGTTCTAAGACAAATACAAGTCCACTGAGAAAAAAAGACCAAGGCGACAGTTTGGATACCACTCCTGTTTCAACGGAGTAGCTCCCCAAGGGGGAGGGCCTCAATAGATGCTGATAAGCTGATTACTATCCGATACCACAACGGCTGAGGAACTATCTTGCGATGCTAACACAGAGCGACTGAGGCTAGCAGGAGCGAGGCTATTACACTAGTAGATTACTACAGAGGTAGTAGGATACCTATGTTCTGCATATTCGAGGAGTGTTACTGCTACTACTAGTAGTGAGGCGCCATTAATACTCCAAAATGGCTACTACTACTACTACTACTACTACTACTACTACTACTACTACTACTACTACTACTACTATTACCACTACCACTACTACTACTACTACTACTACTACTACTACTAATACTACTACCTGCATCGACCGCCAATATGGAAGCTAGCCTCGAGGACTATCGTCGATAGGCCAGCGGCTCGGAGGTGTTTGGCGCAGTTCAGACCAGCGATGCCGGCTCCCACGATAACTGCATCATAGTCTTGCCGATCCTCGGGCATGATTGAAACACAAAACCTAACTAACCACTATAAATGAGGTTCCCTCCCCTGTGCGAAACGCAATCACCAAATGCTTCAAATGGAGCAGCACCACATGCGGGACTCGAACCTGGTACCACAGGTTTCCCACGCGAGTGCTCTGCTGACTAACCTACTGGGAATGATGAATATCAAGGAAAGAGTCACTATCAACTAGTATCACCACTCGATGTGAACATGTTTCATCTCGAAAGCCTTTGATTAAGGACTACGACAATAAGGTGGTGTGCTCAACTTGAGCATTTCGAGCTATGACATCAAAAATACCGGGCAATGCAAAATCACGCAAGAAACAGCGATAGATTGACCCATTTCCCAAATAGACAATATGGAAATATCACCTTCACCGCCACGCTCGAAGTAGATCCATTTCGCTCGAGGTTAGACAGGCCACGATGATCTTCAGGCGGGCAAGGAGGCACGTCTTGAGGACCAACAGAGCTTATCCGACTAAGAGGCAGGTAAGCTTTGAGAAAGTGCGATTGGATAGGATGTTTGCCTATGATTCGTGCGAGCAAAGTCCGTCTCCTAACACTACAGTTTTCAAGCTATACCGAACTGCCAATGGAAGCTCCCCATGCACATCCCATCACTCTCAGGCCAATGAGAATGATTCGCCTATAATATCGTCTGATAAACGATACTATTTTTTTTGTGTGAATCTGAAACAAGGTGCATTTCGTTCTGCTAGTCCTATCAACAGCGCTCGTAGTGTAACGGTATCATACAAGCTTCCCATGCTTGTGTCCCGGGTTCGACTCCCGGCGGGCGCAGTAAATTTTTGACTTTATTTTCAGCTCGGCTCAAGATCTGTCGGTGCCCATAAGGAGCCCTCGAGTGAGCGCGCGACGGGAGCTCTCCTCAAAAGTGATCCCAAGAACGCCGTTGGGCGGGCGAAAAGTACTTACTGAGCATACCGCAGAGTCCTCCCCACCGGAACATCCTTGGAGTGCTCCTCATGTTCACCCAGTGAGCACGTCATTGCATACCTCTCCCCCGAAGACGCCCCCGAGTTCGACAAAAGCTCTATCGGACACCTTGATGATTTCTAACGTAGACGAATTTCTGGGCGCGCGCTAAAATCTGCGCATAACGTCCACTCCGATCCCAGCCTCGAGCCAGATCGCTGTCTGAGGAAACGGTAAGAGTTAGAGGTACAACTAGCAGTTGTTGACTTCCATAGTAGTTGGATATACGACCATAGTCGGCGCATAGCCCGCGTTATGTAAACATTCTCTACGACCAGTGAGCCTTCTGGACCTGAGTCCCTGCGCGCGACCGGCAACATGTGGAAGTTTCGCTTAGTTTCGTTATTTTCTATGTTTACTTCGCCTTATCGGGTCTCGTGCTCGGCCACACAGCTGATGACTGGCAGTCCTCCCCTACGGCTCAATGGGGACTCTGAATCCAAAACCCCTGTAGTGATAGGGGAATTCCCGTTCCCTCTCTATCTCCCGCTTCACCCGACTATCACAAAGAACATGTCCTTGAGCTCTGGATAGACTGCTTCTCATGCCGTATAGGAAGGGCTGCCACCAACGATATCGAAGTGTCGGCCCTCAAAGTTTCCATAGGACATGTACGCAACGTAGAAGGATTCCCCATCAAAATGCCCATGTCCAATACAATAGGACATACAGCGTATAATAAGCATTCAGTGACGGTCTCAGCTGGAAGGCGATCGTGAGGCATCTGTCTACTGAGGTGAGTTGTTGTTTGAATATGTGATAATTATATGCGTAGTAGTATATGTATATACGAAGACAGTGTGGAGTTTCACGACCAGTTTTACGTGAAGTGGTGTAATACTCTGTGAAAAACGCGATATTCGTAGTGATATGCAGTAGTCGTGAAATATGTTTTTCATTAGTGTTCTTTCATCTCACAGGTGAATTCCTAATATCATTATTATTGTGTATCATGATATATCACAACTACTAATCTACCTGCAATTCCCATGGAAAGCAGGATCCCCACCAGCCGTCAAACGGAGACGTGTGTGAAGCGCAAGCGGAAGATGGTAGTAGTATGCGATGAGAAGTGGAGAAGGAGGAGTGGTATAATATAATGGTGGTCTCGAATAGTGACAGTCTGGGTGAAGCTCATCACGTGTCAACACGACTGCCTGAAAATGCTCTAAAATCATCTCACCAAAACCAAGCATACTTTTGAGTTATAACCATTATTATCATCATCTGTAATCGTCCTACAGTTATCTCAAAGTACCTGCGTATGGAGCCGCCATCAGCCGCTGTAATATGCTATTCGACATCTGTTGAAGTCCGCGGCTACGAAAACAAATGGTAGTCGAGTTGCCCTCACGTTTGGTGGACGAGAGCGTGAACCGCATTCAGAACGGTCTTTCTCGTATGATATATAGTGTTTCACATTTCACTGATGATACACAGTATTTCACCATTTATTGTGTATATTCCATAGGTACATGGCTCAGCTTGCAGGTATTGATATAGGAGCTTGTGAGGTGAGAGGGTGCTCGGGCTCGTAGTAGTAGTAGTAGTAGTAGTAGTAGTAGTAGTAGTAGTAGTAGATGTACGGATGAGTTTGCTTTCCTCAGCTGAGTTCAGGAGTTACCAAAGCTACAATATGCACATGAATCTGGATAGAAGTCTACGAAAAGTTACATTAGTTACCCCGAATGTCCTCAGAATTCTGCTGTTGTCATCAACACGTGTACATCATTCTTCCACATAGGTGCGGATAGCATTCCACAAGAGCATTTGGCAGCCCAGAATAGTCCCCATTGATGCGGTAACTCCTCGAGGAGTTTCTGTGAGTATTCTGGACCAGGTCAGGTTTGTCCCTAAGAAAATCGGTTCCCGACCAAGCCCTGGTGATAAGGTTGAAGTAGTGGAGGAATCTTCCTCAGTGGTGTTGAGTTCGTGTGTTGTGTAGGTGTTCTCACCCGAAAATGACTCGACACCAGCGTCTTGGAGTCTGGGAATTGTCAGCAGT